GAGTGAAATTCGTTTGACACCAAGCACCTGCAAGAGCTTCCATTTAGTCACAAATCAGTTCTTGCATTTAAAGGACATATATAGCACTATAGTTTGGTTTTGTGTAATTCAGCCACCTCAACTATGAATGATGATTTCATATGTGTTATAATCTCACTCGCTTCAAACTGAAATATAGAGCACTACAGTTTGAATAATCTGAAGTGAAAATGATTCCCACATCGATTTTCAATTTTGAAAATCTGAACCAAAACGTATAGTTACAATCAATAATGTTCACACAGTTACTTGTCACAGTAACATGTAAAACCAGAGGGAAAACGAAGTGGGTTCAAAAGTAGCCTGTTCATGGCAAACTCCGTTCAAACTAGACTGCCACAACCGTACAGCCCCATCATTTCCGGTGGTTGCCAACGTCATTCCGCTCATGTCGCATTCCATCTGCCAAACCTCGCCTTTGTGACCTGAAAGTAGTGCAATTTTCTCCAATGATAGCCTTCCATCCAAGTCAGGGTTTAACCCAAGATGCCATATTGATATTCCCTTGTAAGTGGTAACAACAATTACCTCATATGGCCTTCCAATGTTGGTGCCCACGCAATTGCATATACCTGATCACCATTATCACTAGGCGAAGCCAAATCTGCAACTGGAAGCCATCTTTGATGAGCCTGATAAAATTTTCATACCTTGGCAGAATTAAGTTATGGTGTGTTTGAATTGAAACCCAAAACAAAACTTGATTCCTGGCTTTCTCCTCTTTGTGGATTCCAAGATATAGATGCAGATAAGCATATGGCATGGCCAACTATAGACACCGAATCAATAAAACTCCGAAATTCAGCCTGAAGCTGCCAATTCTTCAGTTCCAAGGGATTCAATAACTCATAAAACTTGACACGGGCATCTGAATATGCAATAACCATTTTTAAACATGCAGGTGAGACTCCAAATTGGGTATCTAGCAGTTGAGCCGAACCGCTATTAAAGCTTATGCACAGCTTCCATTGAAGAGGTTGTGCATCTTCAGCAACTTCCTCCCACAATGATAAAGTTCCATCTGCACAGACACACGCCACTGCAGCGTCGAATTTCGGTGGAACCCAAGCAATTTTCACAATTCCAGCAGCCTCGTGCACCTTGAATTTTGAGGTGCAGGAGAAGGACGAAGGTTAAAATATTTTAGTTCTTCACAAGAAGAAAAAGAAGGTGAAGAATTTCGGTGAAAAGAGGGACATACCTAATTTTGGTAGAAGAAGGTGAAGAATCCTATTTGGGTTTGCTCACCTCGTTAACCCAACAGTTTTTTTAATTAGTTAGGATTTTTTTTATTTTAAATGTTAAATAAACAAAGTTAACAGAGTTAGTTTTAGGTTAAGTTAAAGGACATGTGTCAATATATTAACAAGGAGACACAAAGGAGACACATTTTTTGGGACAGCAAATTTGGAGCCAACACCCTAAAATCGCAACTCCTCTCCCCACATTTTCTCAAACCCTAACCTCCGTTTCTGCAAACCAAACCTTAATCTTCCATCATCAACCCATAAGACCTCGCAGCCATGGATATATAAATTATCATCAACCGAGATATATAATTTACATTACATGGCTGTCCAGCAGGAGGAAGTTCGTGGGTTCCAGACGGCAGGAAACATGAACTTCATGCCTTTCTCTCCCACTGCATTATAAGACCCACCAGTAGCGTGGTCGACCTCAACCTTGCCGGTCTTCCTTGGGACAGCACCGCAGCACGAGGTGCCGGTCTCGACGGGGTCACTCTTTCGTCCCGGCTTGAAGAATCCAGTGTTGAATGGGTTCATGACGGTGGCAGCCAAGCCGGAGGCGAAGTTTAAGAGCATGGCATCAATGCCCATGGACCTATAGAATATGTGGTCTTCGATAAAGGCAAGCACGGGAAAGCATCATGGCAACTGCTAGTATTATATTCAAGCATGAAGCTCTGATTAGTATTATATGTAATTGTTAGTTTTTTTATCTTCATCTTGTAACCGGTTCTCTAATAGCTCCTATATATGTGTTATTTGTACTTCCTTATTTATATGAAATAGAATACATTTAACAAGAAATTCTACACCCAAAGACCCCAGTTGAATTCTTGAATAAATTGAATCTGTGATGTTTGCATGAGGGTGAAGAAGGTGATGAAAACAAAAGAGGAGTTCCGGAAAGAAAAAAAAATCAATTATTAGGTGGTGTCGCTTATGGGTGACATTATAGTGGTTATTTTATTTATTCAATTATCAGGTGGTGTCGCTTTTAAGCGACTCTGTTGTTCATACTTAATGTCACTTGTATCTTACGCAAGCTTCGATGTCATTTTTAAGCAACGCTGTTGTTCTTTTTTATTTTATATTACTTTGCTTCTTGGTGGCGGATTAATGGGGCTAAGCGACATCAATACCCTTTTGTGACGGTAGTATTGGCGTCGTTTCCACTATCTGACATTGCACAATTTAATGTCGGATTTTTACCAAAAAATCGACAGTAAGTGGCGTTTTTTGTCGGTTTTATAGCGCCAGTGATATCCCTTTTTGTAGTAGTGTCTACCTCCCAATTTGAAAGCAAATCTGCATATTTTTGTGTACCTACAGACAAAAATCAACAGAATAGAAGTTAAAAGGTGACTTGATGACTAAAATGAAATACTTTATACCCCAAACCAAGGGCAAGGGAATTGTCAAATGAAAAGAGTTAAACTAAATCAGACATTTTGACAAAAAAAAAAAAAAAAAAACTAAATCAGACATTATTCTTAATTTATTATCAAAGCTATGACTTGTAGGAGGGCAAAGAAGTCAATTTAGTACTAAAAGCAATAACACATACAATTAATTTATTTTAAAATGAATCTGTTTCATACAAAATCGGAGTTTAGGCATTTCTTCCTAACAACACACCCAAAATATGAGTTTTTAATAGATCCAATTTATTTCATACATAATTGTGGTAGGGTTATTGTGTTCGTCACTTCCTGTTTTTATTCTCCCAATAAATACAAAACCAAACATAAAAGTCCACATGTGCACATTCAATCACTCAAATAGAATTATGAGTGAAGATTTTTCACAGGAAATTAAAATGATGTTGCATACTTGAATAATTTTTGCCATTTACCTGGAACACTACAAAAGATAAAAAAAATAGAGAAGTCAAAACTCAAGGCATAGATGAAAACTACAGTAAAACTAAATAAACACATAAAACAGAAGAAAATAATACACTCTCCCATTGTATATCCATAAACTGAAATCAGACAAAAAATAAGCCAAAAACAGAAAGAATCAAATCTTAAGAGACAGAATATACAAAACCTCAATTTGAAAACGGCCTTCACGAACTGGCTATAGGAAAGCTCTAATTTTTTAAGGAAATTTTTATTTGAACTCATGTAACCTCTTTCTACACCCAACTTACTCTCTATACTCATATTATTCTTAATTAAATACTTAATATCTCTTTAAACCCAAATTCACTACCTAAACTAACCTCACGAACCCAATTCAAAATGTAAATTTATCTTTACACCCATTTAGAAAATAAAATCTCAAATTGAATAATTTGGTGAAGTTTCTACTTGTTTATGGGGAATCATGAAAGCTTTCTGGAGTTCAATTTCTGTGGACAAGTTGAATAATTTGGTAAAGTTTCTACTTGTTTATGAATCTTCCATATACTAATTATAATTTCATTTTTAGTTTCTCCTTCATATTGTATGGCTTGAATTTGATGAATTGTTGTGTTTGTTGAGAAGACTAGATACGCGGCAATGGCAAAATAGTTATGACAAACTTCAAATTAATTAAAAATATATCTAAAAAGAATATTAGGGTTTTTTTCTGTCGAATTTGAAAGAATATTAGGTTAAAAGGGTGAAAATATTTCAACCTCCATCCTCATCTACTCAATGCCATTGCCATTCCTTTGCATATATTTATCTAGTAAAAAAGAGAAACATTGTACTAACAATAATTTCATTTTTAGTTTCTCCCTCAGAAAGAATATTAAGGTTAAAGCTTGTTTTTCTCTATGAGATCTCTTAGGATTTTAACCGGAATGAAGGTAAGATAAACATTATATGATTGAAGGGTTTAATTTTTGGGAATGGGTTTATTGATAAATATTAGTTTAATTGTCAATTACATTTGTACTTGATGATAATTATACAATAGGCATAAAAAAAAAAAAAAACAATTAACATTTAAAGTTTAAGTTGGATGTAGAAAGAGGTTATATGAGTCCAAACAAAATTTTCCTTTTGTTAAAAAATACATAAAAAAACAAATTAAAACGTTAAATAATTAAAAAACAAATTAAAAATCAAAACGTCAGAGCCCTAACCACACCTGTCTCTCTTGCTACAAATTTTAATTTTCCACCCCAATCTCTTCAATCATGCACAAAAAAAGATAAAATTTTTAAGTTGAATGGTAAATACCCATGAAAGAATTGGGTCGGAGATTGAATTTTGATATAGATTTTAAGGTGAATGCCTAACAGGTACATAAGACTTGGAAGCTAAATAACTGCCATGGACAGGGCTTTCCATTCAAGGTGCTTTCGGTATGTGATTCTGAATGTACAACAGAAGCAGCTCCTCCAGCTCCAAACCCAATAGCCAGCTACAACTCTTAATTAATCTTAATCCATCAATTTAATCATCACGTCTTCAACATTTCTAGCATTTGCAGGTGATCACTCCACTGCGCATTTCACAATTAAACAAAAAGTTTGATAATTTCCACTTTTCCAGTTCTGGGTTTTCTTTTTAATCTTGATTTCATTGTGAATTACTGAGTGTTACTTGTATTTTGTCGCTGATCTTGTGTGGCTTTTGAAGTTGGATTACTGGCTTAATTATCGGTTTAATTGGTCACCATTACTGATCTTAATCATTGGCTTAAACCCTCTTGAATTTGAAGGTAACTTGTTGGCACTCTTGAATTATTGTTCTTTAGAATTTTCAATTTTGATAGTACTAAAAAATGATGCTGGTTGCTGCTGTATCTGTAAATGTTTGGATGCTCTGCGGGCAGTCTGTGCTTGTTCGTTGTAATCTCGATTTTCGATGGCGGAATTGGTTGGGCCGATGTTGTACAACTGCTGCAATTGCCGATGTGCCCTTCACGACGATGTCATTTCGAAAGCCTTTCAGGTAAACAACTGTGCTTTGATCAGGTTTTTTACTTTCTTTCTGACTTCCTGTGTTGATTATGTTTATAACTAAGAACGATATGCTTAATAACTAATGAAACTCCGCTGCTTGAAACCAAAAGAGTTATTGTTTATTTTTCACTACATGTGGAGGACATGAGGAATAAAAGTTTTGCCTTTTCCTAAGTTGAAATGTAAACAACTGTAATGTTCGTTGCCGTTGCCGCGTCACGTCTCCCGTTAAAACTTTATTATCAATGGAGCAAATATAAGAGGTCTAATTCAAGGAAAGAAATATCGCAATATGCTAGATGATTCTTTTTGTTCAACCGGGTAATACGGATAGTGGGGTTGAATTGTTTTTTGGTCAAGTGGGATTCAAAAGAATCACCAAGAAACTTTATTAAACACATGGCACAAATTTACAAACTACTGGCCCACAGACAAAATACACAAACCAAAAAGGACCAGAACTTGAAAACAGAAAAACAAAGTCTGCTGCTATCGCCTCCACCATGACAGTGCATCTCAACCTGCAGAAATCCATGCCCACCGCCAAATATCGCCTCTCTGATCGTATCATCCAATACCGATATGCTCCCCGAGCACAGCCATAAAGTAAGGGTAACAAAAAACTGAAGGAAATCAATTGGTTATCAATAAAAGGAAGACCATGAGCAACACTGCCAGATCTGGCAGACAACAAAGAGAAGGTGGTGGTGTTAGGAACACCCGAGTCGGTCGAAACACCAAAACTCGTAGCACCAACTCGAACGCAAGTGTGGCTGAAGATCGAAACGCAGATGAAGGAGGAAGAGGGACAACAACAAGGGAAGAAGAAGAGGGCAAATCAAGATGAGGAGGAGGGGAAAAAGCAGCAGAGAAGGGAAAAAGAGGAGAAAACAAAAGAAGGGAAAAGTGGCAACCGACTCCAGCCGAAGCTAGAGTCAGCGCCTAAGATGGTGCTCAAGATTGAAACCCTAATCAACCAAAAGGAGGGGAAGAATTCTCATGGAAGGAGAGAAGCTCTCTCACGGGAGATTCTTTATTGTTTTTGTGGGGTTGAGTTGTTTGTTTCGTGTCCTTTTTGATCTCTTCCTTCGCTGGCCCAACTGATATCATCTCTGCTGAAGCGATCTTTCTCAGCCTTGTAAATATTAGCACCGCATCCAACCCTTCTCCTACCACTGTTAGCCTTTGGACCTTGAAATCGTAACTCTCTCTCTCTCTACTGTATAAATAACATTACAATTACGTACATTAAATTGGCTGCTCCATCCAATTCCAACGCATTTTCAACTTGTAAACAAGAGGGAAACAAAATTGGGGCAGCTTCTTTCTTCCAGTACAATTCTCTTGAAAAATCGGCCTTCTGCCTATCCCGGCCTACTGCTTGCTTTCCGGGACTTCTTTTATGCACATCTCTACCATTTCAACTCCGCCAAAAACTCCGTCGTCGTCCGTGGCTATCGTTGATTGGGAGGCCATCCCAGACCCGGCTTGGATTTCCTTGAACATTTCCATCACTTGGATCATTGTCGGACGCCGCCATGGCCTGTCGTCCAAACAAGCACAAGCTACCTTCAAGTGCTGTAAAAGCTCAATCTCAAGGCTTGCGTCCTCTTTCATGAGCTCCGGATCAAAAACATCACTTATTTTCAATTTAGCGTGTTGTTTTACCCAACCCACGAGATTATTGTCGCCAAAATCTGCTGAATCTGTAGGACGTCTTCCCGTTAGCAGCTCAAGCAATACTACTCCATAACTATAAACATCACCTTTGGTGGAACATCTAAAGCTCTGGTAGTATTCAGGAGGGACATAACCAGGGGTGCCTGCTAGAGTGCTCACACTCAAATGGGTGTCCATTGCACTCATAAGCCTTGCCATTCCAAAATCGGAGACTCTGGCTTCCAAATTTTCATCCACCAGCACGTTGCTCGATTTCATATCCCTGTGAATGATGTGTGGGATGCAATTGTGGTGAAGAAAGGCCAGTCCCCTCGCGGACCCAATGGCAATCTTCCTCCTTGCAGCCCAGTTCAACTTGACGCCAGCTTTCTTCTGTTCATGTAAAACATCATCTAAGCTTCCATATTTCATGTACTCATAAACAAAAAGCCATTCTTCTCCTACTTTGCAGTATCCAAGGAGGGGGACAAGGTTCCGGTGCTTGATCTTCCCTATTGTTTCCATTTCTGCAGTGAATTCGCGATCACCATGTCCGCTGATATGTATTAGTTTCTTTATGGCTACGACACTGCCATCTTTCAATTGGGCCTTGTATACATCACCAAAACCACCTTTGCCAATAAGGCTGTTATTGTGGAAACCATTGGTGGCCTCAAGAAGATCTGCAAAAGTGAGCTTTCGAAGGGGCTTCTCAAATGTCGCGAGGTTGATGCTTAATGCTTCCCGGGCACCTGTTAGCTTCCAGCCTTTGGCAGTTCCTGATTGGTTACCACTGTCGATATAAACGTCAAGGGCCGATTCCTTTTTTTTTCGCCCGAGAAGATCTGCTCATCCAAATCAACCGAACAATTAATGGAAAAGAAAAATGAAACGGTTTTATTACATTAAAATTGGCCTTGAATGAAGTGCTGTAAACAAAACTAGGCAAGAAATATTAGAATACCTTCAACACCAGAAACAGCTTTCATGGCTTTCTTCTTTTCTTTCTTGACCTTGAATACCAGCTTCTGCATATATGTCTGCGTAGACTTGACGAGGTTGTCAAGCGGAAACTAAATTGAAAGAAAGAGAGCATGTCAAAGTTGGATAAGCACCTGAGCCATATTGCTAACAGTATGAACACGTTTACACAAACAAAAATACAAAAGCATAAGAATTTGTAGGCGTGCATCGCAGACTAAGAACTCACCATTGTCCCTGCATCTTTTGGAACGCACGAGCTCTTATCTCCCAAGGTTGATGCGGAGGAATCCTGAAATTGATCCATTGGCCTGATAGCTGTTGAAACATGAGAGCTTCTGTCTCCCAAGTCGGACGCAGAGGAATCAGGAAAATGATCTATCAAGCTTTTATCATCAAATGTGACGGAGGGTGGCGGAGAAACACTTGTCAGGTCTTCATCATCCAGTGATTCGAAGTGTGTGTGGGATTGATGAGAAAGAGTCATCTCATCTTCAGCATTCAGTGATTTCAGATAATATGGACAACCAAATGCTGGAAATTCAGACCTTGATGTCACCATAATCTTGTAGTTTGGTCTTTTGAATTCATCAAACTTGTCAAGAAGGGATTCCGATCCAGGCCAAACATCATCCAAGACCAACACTGATGGGTGAAGTGCTGTTTCCATGAAAAATTGGTGCAACCAGTGAAGTGCAATTGATTCGTCTTGCAACGCAGGTACCATAAGGCTCCAGCTAGGATTTTTTGAAACAAGAACAAAGAAGATGTTGTTCTTGAATATGTTTTTAACTTCCTCATCTGCACAGAAGTATTTTGCCAATGTGGTTTTCCCACTTCCTTGATGACCCGTTAGCACAACCGCTGACACCTCATCATAAAGAAGAAACCTCTTCAATCCTCTCAAAATCACATCCAAGTCAACTGTAACCAATGAAGGTATGTATTCAGTTTCCTTATATTCAGCGTACGGAGGGTCAAAATTAAGCACGTCTTTCCACTGAATTTGCTCCAGTCCTGCCTCTGTATTACTTGCTGTTGCTGAGGTCTGCAATGTCTCCTTTGCATCCCTTGTTCCCTTCACACTCTGTACATTCAATCCAACTGCTGGTGGTGTGGCTTCGACCACTTCATATGAACTTTGATCATTTTGTGATTGTACCACACCACTCCATTCAATTTGACTGATCACCGTATCTATATCACCACTTATATCCTTTAACTGAGTGCTTGTACCATCGCGTTCAATGTAGGGCAAATGCCTACGACAACTTTGTTTGGTGTCATCAAATTCTGACAGATCATGAAATCTACAACACAACATTTCGATTCAGGACAACTAACTAAATTATTAAGACTGAAATCCGAAAACCAAACCTGACAGAAATCATAGAAGCAAAAAAAATTTGCAGCGCGATAATTATAAAACAAGGTGGAGAGGCCAAACCTGCTGCATTTATGGCGAAACCTTCTCTTTAGACCAGACACAATCACAAGTGGAGCCTTGGAATGAAGTTTGCACACCCTATGCTTTCTATTATACACCTTTGCATCACTCAGATCGACTGCACACCCATCAGCTTTACAAATCGCCATCCCGTCTCCACTTGCACCTATCACAGACTCAGCTCCCTTCTTCTTCCTGTCATGATGATCTTCCACCCGCTCATCAAGTTCCTCATCTTCCTCAGCCTTAAGAACATCCTCCTTCAATTCCCTAAATGGCGCATCAAGTTCAGATACTTCTTTACCCTGAATTCGCTTTAGCCCCACCTCTATATCACTTACAGAGGTCTCCTCCATACTCCTTGCTCCCACCTGCATGTTCATTGCATCCAGTCCAACTGTACGTGATGGATGTTCAGTTTTACTTTGTGCCACCCAACTCTCTTCAACTTTCTGCCACCCTACCATTATATTCGCTTCCGGATCCAATGTCTCAGTCATGTCCCTTGTTCCCTCCACACGTAGTGCATTCAATCCAACTGCACTCTTAGCCATGGCTGCGGGCACTTCACATGAACCTTTAGCTTCATTTTGCTCATTTTGTAATTTTACCACACCACTCCCTTCAATTTGATTGATCACCGCCTATATTGCTTACGGAATCCAAGCTCTCCCTCGCATCCCTTGCTAACGCCGCTCCTAGAGCAGCAGCCCCTACTCCTCCACCTGACGGCACCATTTGTTGTCCACCATTCTCTCCATTTTTTTCATGCGGTGTTGTCTCAACACCACTTCCCAAAGACTCTCTGTCCCCCGATGGAAGTTCAACTAATGTACGCCGACTTTCTGTTTGATCATGTTGTATGATACCACTCTTCAATTTTCACGGTCACCGTCTCTATA